TTTCATCCTTGGATTCTGTTCTCTCTCGGCACAAGCAACAGATACCTTCTCCTTGAACCCCCGTAGACCCTCCGTTTCCAGCGTTTCATCTTCGTCGATGTCGAGCCCCTTCCATACGTCCTCTACAACCTTGACCCATTCCGTGGGTTGTCTACCCCTCTTTTTGTTTGCCCACTTCGCCTCCCATACAATTCTCGGCAACCTCTCCTCTCCCATCCCGCACATGCGATACTGCCAGGTCAGCTTCCTCGCGTCTCTTCCCGACCGTAGGGATTGGATCCCCACTTCTCCTCTCACGGCTGCATAACTTGTGCGCCTGGAGCATCCTAGGATGGTTTTCGCTGCTTTCATCTGCGCCGCCTCGAGTTCTTTCACGACCGTCTTAGTTCCTTCCCGTACTTCTCCGGCGTACTCTAGCGGCGGTACGATTACGCTCTTCAAAACCGTCAATTTGATGCGTGTATCGAGGTGCCGGTTTGCGAGTATTGGATGCAGCTTCCCTGCTCGTGCTTTGCCCTTTTCCGCTACCTTGGACACGTGTGCATTCCACGAGCAGCCTTTTGCGATCTCTACTCCGGGGTGTGTGTACTGGTCCACTACTGCAATCTCCTCGATCCCCCACTTCCATCTATGTTCTACTGGTTCCTCCTTGTTCTCGTTGCAAACCATGACGGCACTCTTCTGAACGTTGGCAGACAATCTCCACTTATCAGTAAACTTCTTCGCCGCGTCAATTTGCAGTTGCAGTCCCTCAGGGGTGTCCGACATACCGACAAAATCATCCGCAAACAGCATTCCTGAAACCGACGTTTCCGCGTCCCCTACTCTTACTCCCTTCCGAACTGCCTCTACGACTTCCAACAGATCGTTGATGAACACCTGGAACAATGTTGGGGACAGCGTGCAACCTTGTGGGACCCCCTGCTCAATGTCGAAGAATTTAGACAGTTCTCCGTCTAACACGACCGCGCTTTTCGTACACTCTGTCATTTTCTTCAGCACTCTCCACATTTTTCCCTTGATCCCGTAGACCTATTTGGAAAGTTATTTCCACAACCCATTTTCCATACGGTGTCGTATGCCTTTTTCACGTCCAGGAAGGAGCAGTACGTCGGCGTTCCCGACCTCTTTCTACCTTGGATGATTCCCCCTGCCGTGAATACGTGGTCTACGCACCCCTCTTCTTTCGGAAACCTGCCTGGCCCTCACTAATGCAATGTTCCTTCTCCGATACTCCCGCTATCCTATCGTTCAGCAGCTTACAGAACGCTTTTCCAACTGTATTCAACAGTGTGATCCCCCTGCAGTTTCCTGGGTCAGTCTTGTCTCCTTTCTTAAACAAGTTCACAACCACTCCTTCCCTCCATCTACTTGGCGTATACTCGTTTTTCCACACCCACTTGTATAGCAGTGCCATCAGCTGGATCATCCCCTTCCCCCCAAACTTGATGGACTCGTTGACTATCCCATCCGCTCCTGCTGCTTTGTGGCACTTCAGCTTGTTCACACACGCCTCAACCTCGTCCTCAGTGAACTCCTTTTCTAGTTCTACGTTCCCAACGTCTGCCTTCGATTTCTCTTCTTCTTTTTGGGCCTGCGTCTACCTCCTTCTTAAAACACTTGGCCAAAAGCTTCATTCTCTGAGGGCACTCCAAGTCTCTCGTAGTGTCCTGCTATGACTTCCCTTTTTTCCGTTCCCACTGCTGACTAATCCACCGTTCACACCTCGCAAAGTTGCGACCCCTGTATCCCCCCCTTGCGCGGTCCGTCTTACCATGCCACTAATCCCTTCCCACATCTGCTTGAGGTTCCCCTCCAGGCCTCCGTTGGCCTTCTGCACTACTTCGTCCCAAATACACTTGTTTCTTCTTTTTCACTAGCACCTTCACCGGTTTATCTTGGCCCTGTACTTTTCCCAACTCTCCTCAGACGCCTCACTCAGGTACTGCTTGAAGACTTCTCTACGTTCCCCTATTTCTTCTTTCAGCTCGTCATCCCACCACTTAACCGATACCCCACATCGTACCACCTTCCTTCCCACTACTCTCTCTGCCGTTGCGTTCACGATGGACTCCCACCCTTCAATCACCCTGTCCCCTGCTGCTTGTACGTCTACCTGTCCGTCTTGGACGCTTCTCGGCAGTTTCCTGAAGGGTTCTACACTACCAGCCATCCCGTGTCCCCTCGTCTCCCAAACGCTCTACTTACCGCCGGAACACTTTCCTCCTCTGTTTCTTACTCTCCACCTTTCTAGATCGGTCGATGTTTGCCCATATGAGGAAGTGGTCGGTCGAACCTATATCTATCGCACTTACGTGCAGCTCTGGGATCTGCGTGCTCCCCCGATCTACCAGGATGTAGTCGAGGATCGAGTACTCATTGCAAACTGCCCGTTGCCTGGTGAACTCCGGCTTATCGCGTTCCCTCCTACCATTCAACACCATCAGCTCGTTTCTTCCCAAGAATTCACGCATTCTCACTCTGTGGTCATTCACTTTGTCTTCACCGTGCTGCCCGATCACCAGTCCTCTACTGGAAGCTTTCCCTACTCTGGAGCTGAAATCGCCCACCATGACAACTTCTCCCTT